GTCATATGATGTTGCTAAAAAGAACATTATTTTGTGTATTTAAAACTTGTAAAAACTTGAAATTGCATCATGACCCCTTTAAAACAAAAATAAATATTATTGTAAATATATAAATGAGCCCTTTAAAATTTTGCTCGTTTTTTATGTACTGTTGAGGTCAAACAATGTGTGAAAATGAATCATGGGATGTGTTTTGCTTCAGATGGACCTTGACCACATCGCTGCAGCTGAACCGTGTGCTGGCACTGGAGAGGAAACAACAGGACTTTATACTGGCAGCAGTAAGTATCAATAAATCACAAAACTAAGTAGGTTTTCTATTATCTAACTGTGCCAAGATGTGTGTGTGTGTGTGTATAATTACAAAATGCAGTCTCATGGTAAGAAACATTTCATGCATTTTCTGTAAAGCTGCTTTGGAATGATGTGCATTGTAAAAAACACTACACAAATAAACGTGAATTAAATTGAATATTTGAACTCTGTTTCTCTCTAGTTCTGCAGCTGAATCTGCTGTCGTCGTGGGGTGACCCTCACTATGTGGGTTTGACGGGGTTAGAGGTCGTTGGTAAGGGCGGTGAGAGTATTCCTGTTGATGTCTCTATGGCAACAGCGTCACCCCGTGACCTCAACGACCTCCCTGAGTGCAGCAACGACCTTCGAACTCTGGACAAGTTAGTGAAAGATACTTTCTGTATATCAGAATTGAGATGGAACTGTTTTTTGGGTGATTATAAATCCTGTTTTCTTTCTCTGTCAGGTTGTTTGATGGGATGAACATCACGACAGATGATAAACACATGTGGCTGATTCCCTTCACATCCAGTTCTGATCACACACTCACCGTGAGGTTCGCTCAGCCGCAGACGATCGCCGGATTCAGAATATGGAACTACAACAAATCGCCTGAAGACTCTTACAGAGGGGTGAGAGTAAAATCTGGGCTCTGTTATTCAAGCAGGTATTTCTGCATCAGGTATGTGCACTAGTGTTTTCCAGCACCTCATGTGCCGTGTGTTTCCTCCAGGTGAAGGTTGTGCACGTGTTCCTGGACGGTGCGTGTATTTCTCCATTCGGGGGGTTTCTCATTCGCAAGGGTCCGGGGAATTGCCACTTTGACTTCGCACAGGAGATTCTGTTCATAGACTACCTACAGTCCAACACGAGCACTGCCGCCCATAACAGATCGCTCACTACGACCAGCAAGACCACAGAGGACACGCACGCTCACTGGTGCAGCACGCTGATACTCTCATCTTTGCGTACAAAAATGTTACAGACAACCTTAACCCCACATATTGTTGTTTGTTGTGTGTTTTCAGGGGTGGGAACCGGAGAGATGAGTTGGCCAGTATGGACTATGAGGCTCCATTGATGCCATGCGGATGTATCCTCACTTTTGCTCACTATACGGTTCATTACAAATATCAGTTTCTTACATTAGCTGTCCTGGTAATAACAGTCTTTAAATATGCTGTTGATTCATGTTACAAGCAAAATGATCACTAGTAACAATATTAGTCATAAATGTATTATTTGTGAGATCTCACAGGCTATATGTATAATTTTTTAGCCTTTATTGAATAAAATAGTCTGCTTTAATAGATAATTCCCTGTGAAATCTGACAAATACATATTTATGTGTGTATAATATATACATATATATCTGTATATATATATATCTCTATCTATCTGTCTATCTATATATATATATATACAGTATATAAAATTTATTAGAAATAATTAAGATTTTTTTTAATCTGACTATAGATAGATGGATAGATAAAAAAAAAATCTAAATAGTTTCAAATAAATTACATCTATTTTTTATCTGTATAATAAAATAATCTAAATTGATTTTCAAATAAATATTCATGATTTATTTTATATATATATATATATATTCGAAATAATCTATTTAGATTGTAGTATGTCTGTAGATAGACGTTCAATAGATTCAAAAATCTTTTTCCCATTGATCCATGAATTTCGATCTTATCCGTGTGTGTTTGAGATTATCATATCTGTCAGGTTTTTCCTTGACTGATTGTGTGTCAGTTATCTTCCAGTTGCAGTTGTTGACGACGTGGGGCGACCCGTACTACATCGGCCTTAATGGACTGGAGTTCTATGACCAGAATGACCAGAAGATCCCGCTCAGTGACAACAGTATCCTTATGAACGCACACACACACACACACACACACATACAGTGATCAGTCAAGGGGCCGCACGCACATCACCCAACAAGACTGAGACACTTTACAGCTCAAATAAGAGTTTTCTTTAACAGTTTGTCACCAGACATCGCTGCGTTCCCCGACAGCGTGAATGTGTTGGATAACGTGTGCGGTGACGTCCGCACACCTGATAAACTGATAGATGGGGTCAATAACACACATGACGGGCGACACATGTGGCTCGCACCGGTGCTGCCTGGACTGGTGAGGACAAACTGTGTGTGTGATTGTGGGTTTATCAGCTAAGCTCCGCCCCCTCGTTGAGTACTGCTGTAACTCAAAACAAGCTTTGCAGAAAATCCCATAGGAATCATCAGGAGGTTTCTATAAATGGTGGGATTTTCACTAAAACATGCACCAGAAAGTGGCCAGAATTGATCTTATTATGTCTTTTTTTTGTTTTTCCAGGTGAACCGTGTCTATGTCATCTTTGACCAGCCCATGACGGTTTCCATGATTAAATTATGGAATTATTCCAAAACACCTCAGCGAGGAGTCAAGGAATTTGGGGTAAAAACAAACACACACACACAAATCTAAAAGTCTACACAAGCAGCACCAAAGATGAGTTCAACATTAGAAAGAAAGCAGAACACTTTTAATATTTGTTTAGAATTGAAAACTTGAATAATATGCATTACTGTTCAAATGATTGATTTTTAATGTTTTTGAAAGACTTTTCTGCTCAAAAATACAGCAAAAACAGAAATATTGTGAAATATTATTACAATTTAAAATAACTGTTTTGTATGTGAAGATACTGTAAAATGCTATTTATTTCTGTGATCAAAGCTGAATTTTCAGCATGGCAGGGTGCAGGGATTTTGAAAGCAGGTTTTCTTTTTCTTTTTCCCTCTGGGAACATTTGGAAAACTCAGTAACCTCAACACACACACACACACACACTCACACTCACACACACACACACACACTCACACACACACACACACACACACACACTTGAACTGTATGATAAAGCTGTATATATATTTTTTGCTATGATGTTGTTGTGTTATTATTGTAAGTCTTTTTAAAGTAAGTGTCCTTTGACCATGTCATGTGATTTTGGATGGAAGTTAATGCATACTAACATGCACACCACATTTCATTTTTCATGTCAGATCCACTTGTGATAAGAATTTGTAGTTTGTATATCCTACAGCCATGTTTGAAATATATAAACAGTCTAATTGTCTAATTATATCAGCAACAATAAGTACTTACAATATTTCAGATTTACAGAGTTTCTAAGTCTTTCACAGTTCATTCAAAACACTTTTAACAAAAACAAATATGCAAATGCTGCCAGTTTACCTCATATGAAAGCCACTGTAATTATTATTAAATATCACCTATCTCTTTATTGTTTGTCACTATTTTTATTTGGGTATGCAATTTTATATCGAGACTTTACCTTGAGAGAAAAACTTCTTGGAAACGGTCATTATTTTTGTAATTGGGTTCAAAGCTGCTAGTGTTGCAGAAATCATTTACTGCAGCGTAAACTGAGATTGAGGTTTGTAATATCATCATAGCTACAGATTTGAATGCTAACTAATCTTTGAGCAAACCGTGAAAAAAAAAAAAAAGTGATTTTTTTTTTTTTTCATCAAGAGCTTAATCCAAATAATTCTAGCAGCTGTTGTGATTTGTTGATTATAATAGGAGTGATCATGTTTGGTTATTCATTTTCAAAAATATTTATGAGTTTGAGTTTTGGTTTTTGGCTGAAAATGTACTCACTCTCAGACCATCCAAGATGTAGATGAGTTTGTTTCTTCATCAGATTTGGAGAAATGTAGCATTGCATCAGTGTCTCAGCAATGGATGCTCTGCAGTGAATGGGTGCCGTCAGAATGAGAGTCCAAACAGCTGATAAAAACATCACAATAATCCACAAATAATCCACACCACTCCAGTCCATCAGTTAACATCTTGTGAAGCCACAAGCTGCATGTTTGTAAGAAACAAATCCTAAAATAGTCCTCTCCATAATATTTGCTTTCTCCAATGAAAAGTAATTTTATCTGAATCAGGAGAAAAACAATTGAATGGAGGAAGCGGTATTATGGTTTTATTAGCATTATTATGGATTATGTATTCTGGCCAGATGAGATGGTTTAAAGTTAAAACATCTTAAGTATGGAATTGTTTCTTACAAACGCAACTTTTGTCTTCTCCAGATGTTAACTGATGGACTGGAGTGGTGTGGGTTACTTGTGGATTATTGTGATGTTTTTATCAGATGTTTGGACTCTCATTCTGACGGCACCCATTCACTGCAGAGCATCCATTGCTGAGACACTGATGCAATGCTACATTTCTCCAAACCTGATGAAGAAACAACCTCATCTACATTTTGGACGACCTGAAGGTGAGTACATTTTCAGCAACTTTTTATTATTGGAGAACTATTCCTTTAAAAGGGAAGATTTAACCAACATGTTAAATGTTCTGCTTGTGGTTGTCTAGTTTACTTGTTACTACATGCCTTAAAAAACTCTCAAAAACTTTACCAAATCCACTGATTTAGTGCTTCCTCATAAGTTCTTGTTCTAATAAGTTCTCAACCTGGTACCTTGTAAACACTGTTTTGTTTGCAGGTGAACTGGTGCGCTGTGTCTTTCTGTACAATCCAGCCATTACGACTGTACCTGCCAATTTTCTGCTAATACCTATTGGTTTTGTGTAATATGCATTGGATGCCAAGCCAAAATTATTGTTGTTGACGGAGACTCCATGAAGCACGCCACAACAGAATCACATTTCAAAGCCTGAGAGATTTTAATGCAGAATCTGCAACACTTTCATTTAAAATAAGGAATGACGTTAACAATCTATCTCATCCTCCAGCCTGACAGGAGCATTTTTGAACAAACATTGATAAGGCCCTGCTCGGCTGGGGTGAGACGATACCACAGACAGATGCGTTTCGGTTCCCCTGATGCAGTTCTCTGGAGACTGTGTGATCTTCAGATCTTTCCTGGAAATGTTCCATCTTCCCTCTGAGTGTCCCATTTCTCAATCTGAGCGACACACGGAAATGTTGAGAGTAAATGACATTCATGCACAATTCTGATGCTTACAGAAATAGGGGATGAAGGAATATTTACCCAGGATAGAGGGCAGAGAGATTTGTAGACCCTCTTGTACCAGTCACATGGAGCTGTGTCGACACCTTTGGCATCCAGAGCTTTTTGGCAGCGATAATAATCTATAAATAAATTAAATGGATTCCATAGATTACTGTGTTTTTTGGACATGGCAGCATGGTATTTCTAAAAGGTGAATCGCAAAAAAGAACAAGTACAGGTTAAATTTCACATTACTCTAAAAAAAAAAAATAAATGTAGGAGGAAAATATTTCTCATGACAATCATAGAAAAATGCAAGAAATCTCCCTTATTTTCTTTATGCAATTTTTCATTGAAAAAAAAAAAGTACCGTTTTTACGATTTATATAAATTATTAGTAAAATATTTGGAGTAACGTGTTTCTGAAAGTCTCTTATGCTCACCAAGGCTGCATTTATTTGATTAAAAATACAGTAAAATAATTTCATGATATTTGATGAACAGTAAGTTCAGAGTATAAGGATTTGAAATAGAAATCTTTTGTAACATTATAAATGTATTTACTGTCACTTTTGATCAGTTTAATGTGCTCTTACTAGGGCTGTATTTTACAGCCCTGAATAAAAACATTCTTTATTTAAAAAAAATAAATCTTGCTGACCCCAAACTTTCAAACGATAGTGTAGGCTTATGTTTCATACAGAATTGTATTAATTAATAACAAACGTGGTTAGCATGTGAGCTTATTTCAGCAACGGAATTAAAAAAATTAGAGAGAAAAAATCTGAATTTTGTGAGGTAAACTAAGAATTGTGAGGAAAAGCTAAGATTTGCAATTACCGTTTTTACCGTGTTGAATAAATAAGTTTCCATAGTTAAGAGCGCAGGTTCAATAAACACTCGCGAACCAAAACATCGCGTTCAAGTAACCACGGCAACGGTAAAGCGTGAACCGACAAAACGTTACACTTTTTATATCACAAGTATACACAAAAAAGTTCTGTTAAAAAGTTTTTAACCCGCTAAAAGACTATTCAAATGACCTACATAAATTACCTTAAAAATGTCGAGCCACCTGACAGTTACACTGATGTTTCACCACCACAGGTCAGGACTTTCTGCAGTGGATTTACTCTCTAAATATGTTTTTCCCCCCTATATATAAATGACTCACCCAGGTAGTTCTGCCAGCAGTTTCTCGTCTGGTTCTGGTTCGGGAAGCGGGCATCGAACGGCGCCGTGCGGTACTTCTCCAGTTTCTGCTGAATGTCCTCGGCCATGACTCGAGCGTGTCCCTTTAATTCAGATAACCTTAAATACATGCATCTATCATAATTCAGCAATAGATTAATGCAGCACGCTGCGCAATGCCAAGAGTTAGCCTATTTCAGAAAAATGCCCATATATGTCCATACGCATCAGAATGCTTAATTTCATCATGAAAAAAAATAAAAAATTAGAATAGTAATAAAACATGGGTCACGAGACTAATGTATTTATATGAGCTCTATATGATTAGACGCTTAGACGGTGTGTATATGACGAATATAACGCTGCACATAAATATATTTCATTAGGATTACAATAGCGCATCTATCAAGGTGTTACGTTTCATATATTATTCCATTTATTAGTTTTGTATTTCAAAAAGATCCGATGTGGTCGATGCCTCCGTCATCACATTGTTAAACACTTTCGCTTTTACAATCAGAGTCCTTGTCCCGCAGAGAATAACGCGCATTTCAATAGAAAGCGTTACATTACCGCATGCAATGACAGCGTTATTGTGCCGTGGTGTGTTTTACCTGTCTGAGGCGGCTGGCTGTTCGGAGTGACTTTTGTTCAGTGACAGACAATCCTCATTCACTAGCTGTGTGTGTGTGTGTGATGATAAGTGCACTTGAGCGCCGGCGTGCAGTCCTTTACGCACGGTATGGCGGACTCGGGTCACATTGAAACCACTGAGATGCGCTCATAGGATGCGATGCGCTTCACGAGGCTAACTCCAGGAAGGAGCCCTCATATGCGTATATGCATGTGCATATGTAAAGAAACCCAGCAGATCAATTGCTTAATCATGTATTTATTGTATGTGAATTCATGTAACCTTCAGAAGAGCACGTCAGGTCACATCCGTGCATTACAGCAGGTTAATGTTTAACCGGTGGATTGATAATCAACTGGAGAGAATTTGCATGGTTATTCTAAAGATCAATGCCTTCCCGTTTTATTTTGGCATCTTGTTTGTCTAAACGTATATGGATTGAAATATTATTTTTTTCTATACACTCGTTCTCAGAACAAAGTAACGTTCTAAAATTCGTTCAGATTTATCTCAAAACGAAAACGTTATTTAAACATCGTTTATGGAGCCAATTCTACTTGTTATTGCTTGTTTCAGAAGATTCAGAAATGATATTAAACAAGATGCCAAATTTTGCTATAAGTTTGATCGCAACATTCACCGTTTGTTTAAATTCATGTCATTAACTGCATGATTTTTACTGTGCATTTCTGCCATATGGACATCACCTTGATTGATAAGCTACCCTAAATATAAAGTAGAAACTTTAATTTTCAGTGAAGCTGCTTTGCAACGATTTGTATCGTGAAACGTGAAAAAAAGATGCATAGAGTCCATAAATAGCTGCAAGTATCACATACAGAGCCGATCCTCCCTATACGCAAAATACGCAAGCTGCGTAGGCTAAATATAAAGTAGAAACTTTAATTTTCAGTGAAGCTGCTTTGCAACGATTTGTATCGTGAAACGTGAAAAAAAGATGCAGAGTCCATAAATAGCTGCAAGTATCACATACAGAGCCGATCCTCCCTATACGCAAAATACGCACGCTGCGTAGGGCCCCCGAAACACCAGGGGGGGGCCCTTGCTCTCAAAGATTATTTAATTTTAGTTTCGTTTTTGAATTTGGCCAGCGGTTATGAAAACATGAATGATAATTTCTTTTAATGCGGTGCGCTGTCGTCCTTTCTAAGTAAAAATCAGTCAAATCATGTCATGTGAATGTCGTAGGCCTACAGTCTCTTGCTCGAGACAAAACAAACAAACAAAAACGAGTTGAAAGCGTACCGAGCCGTGGATTCCGTGCTCACATTCACCAGGAGATGCGTTTAACAGTCTGAAGCTGAATTAAACGCCTCCATAAAGCCATCAGTGGCACATAAACGAACACCAGTGAACTCCCGAATAAATCAATAATTCACTTCCAGTAGTTTTTGCATTTTCTTCGTACAGTAATACGTATTGTCTTACATTTGCTGTCTCTGTGGTCCAGTAAACCTGCATGAACCTACTGTGTGTACAGTGTGCGTGCATGTGGCACGTTTAAATGGAATAACAAAATTACTATGCTGAAAACTTGGCTTATGAATATTAAGTTGGTATGACCTAATAAATATTCATGAGATAAGTGTGACGTCTTGAATAAGCATGAAATAAGAAGATCAAAAGAAATGATAAACTGCATTAAGGATTCAAAAAACAATAGCACTGAATGCATTCTACAGTTTTTATTACACAGCGTAGCAATGCAATCATTTAGAGTATTCTCAAATAAAGACAGAAAATGGCATAAGCTAAATTTCGACCTGATCTACAGGTTTACAAAACCAGTTAATAATAATAAACCTCTAATTATAAATACAATGCATCAAAGTTAGCTGATTTATTTTAAACATGTTCATCTACTACACCTGTAATTTAATCCGCAGTGTTTCATTTGGCTTCTTTAGATTCAAAGTCATGTTGTTTTGGTGCAGCTGATCGTCCTGATCTTCTGTGGATGTAGATGATGCACAGAAAACTGAAGATGACATAAAGCTACAGTAAACTAAAGGTATAGTTCTGCTCGTTGGTTCGACATCCACAGCCGCTTTAAATGAAACCCCCATTTTGTAGATATGATTCAAAACTGCAGTATATTACTCATAACAGCATCTGTAGTGATTTTAGGTCCCTCTTTAAGGCACTACATGTACAGCACTAAGTGATAACAGTCCTCCCTGCTATCAAAACATCAGTGAGTTAACAAGAATGACAAAGGTGCATCTTTAACAGCAGCAGCAGCATGAAACAGCAGAACACTTACAAACACTTTGTTCTGACTCACCCGAACTCTTCAAACCATTAATAGCCGAGACACAAAGTAAGATTATTTAATTTTAGTTTCGTTTTTGAATTTGGCCAGCGGTTATGAAAACATGAATGATAATTTCTTTTAATGCGGTGCGCTGTCGTCCTTTCTAAGTAAAAATCAGTCAAATCATGTCATGTGAATGTCGTAGGCCTACAGTCTCTTGCTCGAGACAAAACAAACAAACAAAAACGAGTTGAAAGCGTACCGTGCCGTGGATTCCGTGCTCACATTCACCAGGAGATGCGTTTAACAGTCTGAAGCTGAATTAAACGCCTCCATAAAGCCATCAGTGGCACATAAACGAACACCAGTGAACTCCCGAATAAATCAATAATTCACTTCCAGTAGTTTTTGCATTTTCTTCGTACAGTAATACGTATTGTCTTACATTTGCTGTCTCTGTGGTCCAGTAAACCTGCATGAACCTACTGTATGTGTACAGTGTGCGTGCATGTGGCACGTTTAAATGGAATAACAAAATTACTATGCTGAAAACTTGGCTTATGAATATTAAGTTGGTATGACCTAATAAATATTCATGAGATAAGTGTGACGTCTTGAATAAGCATGAAATAAGAAGATCAAAAGAAATGATAAACTGCATTAAGGATTCAAAAAACAATAGCACTGAATGCATTCTACAGTTTTTATTACACAGCGTAGCAATGCAATCATTTAGAGTATTCTCAAATAAAGACAGAAAATGGCATAAGCTAAATTTCGACCTGATCTACAGGTTTACAAAACCAGTTAATAATAATAAACCTCTAATTATAAATACAATGCATCAAAGTTAGCTGATTTATTTTAAACATGTTCATCTACTACACCTGTAATTTAATCCGCAGTGTTTCATTTGGCTTCTTTAGATTCAAAGTCATGTTGTTTTGGTGCAGCTGATCGTCCTGATCTTCTGTGGATGTAGATGATGCACAGAAAACTGAAGATGACATAAAGCTACAGTAAACTAAAGGTATAGTTCTGCTCGTTGGTTCGACATCCACAGCCGCTTTAAATGAAACCCCCATTTTGTAGATATGATTCAAAACTGCAGTATATTACTCATAACAGCATCTGTAGTGATTTTAGGTCCCTCTTTAAGGCACTACATGTACAGCACTAAGTGATAACAGTCCTCCCTGCTATCAAAACATCAGTGAGTTAACAAGAATGACAAAGGTGCATCTTTAACAGCAGCAGCAGCATGAAACAGCAGAACACTTACAAACACTTTGTTCTGACTCACCCGAACTCTTCAAACCATTAATAGCCGAGACACAAAGTCTCCATCCTAATAAACAAAGCCCTGTGATGCAGGAGCGACACTGCACTGCAAATATACAATATTCATTCGTTTTCTCCTGACACACACAACTAGCCTTGTTTTTAGTGTTGCTGTAAAATGCAGCTAAATGCTTAGTGTGTATGAAACACAATGCGCATTGTGTAAACTCCTCCGTTATAGCGTTACTCAAGACATCATGCCACTAGACTCAGAATACAATGAAAACAGCACAATGATCCAAACATGAATCTCATGTCCAGGTCATATTTCATACCAAAATCCAAAGGAAAAGAAAAAAAATTATATTTTGCAAAAGAAAATTAAAGCCATTTTTAGGATGATTCAGTTTTTAGATTGTGGCATTACTTTTATGACATTTAAAGCAATAGTTCACCTAGAAATTGAAATGAGCTGAAAATGTACTCCTCTTTAGTCCATCAAAGATGTAGATTCAACAAATTTGGAGAAATGTAGCATTGCATCTCTTGCTCACTCATCAGCAGTGAATGGGTGCCGTCAGAATGAGAGTCCAAACAGCTGATAAAAACATCATAATAATCCACAAGTAATCCACACCACTCCAGTCCAGCAGTTAAGAAACAAATAGTAAGAAACAAATCCATCAAGACGTTTTTAATCTTCAAAACCATTGCTTCCAGCTAAAATGTGTGTGTGTAATCCATAATAACGCTTCCTCCAGTGAAAAAGTGGTCTGGTCTGAATCAGGAGAGAAATCTGCACAGATCAAGCACCGTTTAAACAGTCCAAAACAGCTCTAAACAAATATGTTGAAAAATTCTGATGTGAGAGACAACAGAAGATGGACATTTTTACTGGGGGAAGCATTATTATGAATTATGGACTCGTGTTTTAGCCTGAAGTGACGGTTTAAAGTTAAAATGCCTTGATGGATTTGTTTCTTACAAACACACAGCTTTCACTTCTCAAGACATTAACTGCTGGACTGGAGTGGTGTGGATTATTGTGATGTGTTTATCAGCTGTTTGGACTCTCATTCTGACGGCACCCATTCACTGCAGAGCATCCATTGCTGAGACACTGATGCAATGCTACATTTCTCCAAATCTGATGAAGAAACAAACTCATCTACAGCTTGAATAGCCTGAGGGTGAGTACATTTTCAGCAAATGTTCATTTTTGGGTGAACTACTCATTTAGACTAATTTCCAACCAAATTTGTCATGACCCAGACTGTTCTTTATGAGATTCACTTTTATATGAAATCCCTGATCATTATAAATATATATGTAGCCCCTGATAGTCTCTGGCCTTATGCAGAAATCTGAAATGCTTTACAGTAGTTTATGATTGTCATAAAATAATGCAGCAAGTTTGTAACTTCTAAATGAATACATTCAGTTTGATAGGATTTGGTTTAGTTTCCAATAAAAGCATCTCAGGTTTTATGACATCGATCTCAAGCAGCTTTAACTAGATAACCGATATTCTAAACAAAACAGTCGTGACATGAGCTCTGTTTTGGATTTCAAGTTCTACATGCAGCCACTGTGTAGTTTTTTTGGCCTATATGACCTTTGGGTTGAAAATTAGTGTTTAAATATAAACTGTGTTATTGTGTTTCAGAAAAGTGCATCACTGAAGCGCAGCCTGTAGAACTCCTGCTTCACATCCTCTTCAGTGATCGATTCATCAGCTGTTACTCTCAGAGCGCCGCTCTCCGACACATCATCCTTGATCTTGCGCTTGGTCAGAATCACTGGCTCCGTCTCGCCTGGTTCTGTGTGCTGTCGTCCATCTGGTCCCGTCAGAACGAGGTAACAGGCGTGGCGGCCTCGCTCCAACAGCGTCGCTACACAAATGCAGAGAGATGTTTATTTTTTTTAACAAACCCGACTTACAATATGATTTAAAGGTGCTCGCAGTCGTTTCACAAACTTTTAACCCTACTGCCTTAAAGGTACAGTAGCAAAAACAGTGTACAATAAAGAGAGAAAATGATCATGTAAAACTATTTTTAATGCAACAAAACGTTTGGGAAAAGGAGATACCCTTAAAAGAGATGATGTTCTGTGCAGGATTTCTTCTTTCAAGCAGCAGCTGGGAAAGTCGAGGATGCAGCAGGAATGATGAATGCATCTCATTCTGAGTATCGACAAAAACACAGACACACACACATCAGTGGCTTATTTCTGCAGGTGTGTGTTTGTGTGAATATGTTTTTGCTCTTACGGTCTGGTTGCCGTGACTCTGTCCCCAGAGCATGAACACTGAGTAGGTGTTCAATGTGAGGACAGACGCCGGATGAGGACTCGGAGTCCAGAACAACAGATTCACCTCCCACAGGACCACTCCAGAGCTTCCACTGAGAACCAATACCTAAAACACACCATATATATATATATATTAGGGCTGCACGATAAATCGCATGCGATATTTAACGCGCATCTTGTCAGTAAAGCCATTCTGTAATCAGCGGTAAATCTCCATCACGTGTGGGCGTTGTTCACTGATAAGCTGCGCAAAACCACGATCATATTTTGCGCAGCTTGTCGGTGAACAACGGCTCTGTGTAGTTAATGCTGCTCCATGTGAAAGCCCACATTGATCTATTGAATGCATTCTTGCTGAATAAAAGTATTAATATAAATTTGTATGAATTTTTTAAAATCTTACTGACCCCATACTTTTGAACGGTAGGGTTTTTACATATGATTAAAACTAGCCGAAAAAAAAAAAAGTGTACACACACACACACAGTATATCTAACTATATATAACACCTCAAATTATTATAAGTAATCCTCAACGATCACTTACTCTTTTGGTTTTATTGCCAACGTCTTCCTCTATCATTATATCTGGAATTCCATCTTTGTCAAATTGCCCAAATGTTGGCACACTAGACAAACACACAGAGGAATAAATCAGTGTAACACGCACAAATACCTTCCACTGGTTTGGGATCAGTGTTTTTAATCTCACCTGAGCAGAGTGCTGGTGTTTGTGGTCCATGCGATCTTCAGTTTGTCTGTGTGCAGCAGCGACACGCTGGAGTCCGTCTGGACCAGCAGTGATGGAGAACTACTGCCAGGAACAACCATCACATGCTTCAGAGAATCAAACCTACGGCGAAGCGATCAGAAGAAACACATCATATAATGAGAATGGAAAATCAAAGAAAGAAAGTGGATAAGGTTTAACCCCCGATGTGTATTACTGATAGAGGGAGATCAATCCAGTGTGTGTGTCGGATTTTTCCTCCCAGCTTTTCTCATCCTTCAGCGCAGACTCCAGATCGGCCAGAGCTGCCAGACGGCGCAAACTGACCGCATAGAGCCCAGATTCTGTGGAGAGAGAGAAACGGTTGAGTTCAGGGACATAAAGAAGAAACTAAAGAGAAGAGACGCTAAAATCCTCTACACACTTTTGAGTAACAGCAGGTATGGAGCGCCACTGGCTGTTTTGAACTGCTGGTGACCAAACACCCCGTTCCCATCAACATGCACCTCTGAGCCGATCTGATCCCCTGACTTCCCTGAGAAAAACACCAGCTGAAAGAGGGAACAGATCACAATGAACACTATCACGAAGTCTTCAGCACAGGTGTTATTAAGTGTGAGTGTGTGCGTGTGAGTGAGTCAGTGTTAATTATTCGTCAACGACATTTTTTTTCACCGATGACAACGAGACGATAACGAACTAAAACTCTTTTTGAATGACAAAAACTATGACGTAAATCTATTGACATTTTCGTCAACGAATAAAAACGAGACGAAGATGTTAGGGACGATTTGGGAAGAGATTCATTCAGAACGAATCTGCTGCGGTTCGGAGGTTAGATGCGTAGCCTACACTTGCTGCACGTCGCATAAAATGTTCAAAAATGTCAATATGTGGGAGTAAGAGAAGAGCAGACATATGGATAAATCTGACGACACAAGAGAGAACTCAATTCGGTCCGGTTTTCTGAGCGCAGACACTGAAGCATACAGACGGAAAGCGTGTCTCACAGCACGCGAGTACTCTTTCGCGTCGCATGAACGGAGAACTACACACAAAATTATGTCGAATTGTCCCTTTTGATGAGTATTCACGTAAACAGTTAATTACGTCTGAAGTAAACGTAAACATAAATTAAAAAAAATTTAGTTTTAGTTTATTAACTAAAGTAATAAATTTTAAATTTGCTGTCAAAATTAACACTGGTGTGAGTGTGTGTGTAGGCCTGTCGCAATAATCAATTTATCGACTTATCGCGCAATATATGTACATGATATGTACATCGCCCATTTTATGTTACGTTTATTTACTATTTATTTAAGTGTTTTAAGGCATCTAATATTTTGATACTTAATTTCCATGATCTAAATTGATGACGCTTCAGGATTATATGAAAGTATGGCAAAGTCCTCTGCTTTATCAGCATTCAGATCCGGAAAACTGATCAGTGGGAGATTTCCCTTCAGCACAGTAGAACGCGACTGCTGCCACCTGATCACACCTGAAACATCAAAATATTTCCAAATGCACTTTTGATTTGGACAAAAAGCACTGTGATAAAACCATATTCATACACTACCATGCACAGAATGGTTTGTTTTTTGAAAGAAATTAATAGTTTTATTCAGCAAGGATGCATTAATTTGATCAAAAGTGACAGTAGAGACATTTATAATATTACAAAAGATTTCTCTAACACTTAAAAATAAGGTTTAATTTGTTAACATTAGTTAAATACATCAGTTAACATGAACTAACAATGAACAATACTTATACAGCATTTATTAATCTTAGCTAATGTTAATCTCAACATTTAATAATACATATGTGTCCCTGGACCACAAAACCAGTCATAAGGGTTAATTTTTCGAAATCGAGATTTGTACATCATCTGAAAGCTGAATAAATAAGCTTTCCATTGATGTATGGTTTGTTAGGATAGAACAATATTTGGCCGAGATACAACTATTTGAAAATCTGGAATCTGAGGGTGCAAAAAAAATCAAAATATTGAGAAAATCGCCTTTAAAGTTGTTCAAATGAAGATCTTAGCAATGCATATTACTAATCAAAAATGAAGTTTTAATATATTGATAGTAGGAAATTTACAAAATATCTTCATGTAACATGATCTTTACTTAATATCCTAATGATTTTTGGCATAAAAGAAAAATCAATAATTTTGACCCATACAATGTATTTTTGGTTATTGCTACAAATATACCCCAGCGACTTAAAGACTGCTTTTGTGCTCCAGGGTCACATATGTAAGATCAAACGTTGTATCTGTTAACATATAGTTAGCACTGTGAATTAACATAAACGTTACCATTTTTTTTTTTAAGTAACATCAACAAAGGTTAATAAATGCTGTAAAAAAATTGTTTGGTTATTGTTAGTTGATGCATTAACTAAATGTTAACAAATGAGATCTTATTGTAATGTGTTACAAAGGTTTGTGTTATAAATAAATGCTGTTCTTTTGAACTTTCTGTTCATCAAAGAATCAAGGTTTGTCACGGTTTCCACAAAAAATATGAAGCAGCACAACTGTTTTCAACATTGATAATTATTAGAAATGTTTCCTCATATTAGAATGATTTCTGAAGGATCATGTGACACTGCAGAATGGTAATGATGCTGAAAATTCAGCTTTGATCACAGCAATAAATTACATTTTCGAATACATTCACATAGAAGACAGCTATTTTAAGTTGTTATAATATATATATTTTTTTCAGTTTTTACTCTATTTTTAATCAAATAAATGCAGTCTTGGTGAGCAGAAGAGACTTTTCAAAAACATTTAAAAAACTTAACGACTGTAATCATTTGAACCATAATATTTACATAGTACTGTTTCAAATACACTGTACTTTTTTCTCATTGTTCACGTGTGCGTACTTAAATCCCATACCTGTCTTTTTATCGATAGCTGTGAGATTGTCCGCGTGAGCAACCAGACAGCCTGTTCCTTGAAGTCCAAGGCCCTTTACACCACACTCCAGCCAATCAAATTCAGCAGCTAGAGGTCGTTCCCAAAGCGTCTTCCCATCAGTGCCATCAACAGCCGTTAAAACCAGACATGGGATAGATAAATCTGAAAAATAATCATTATTTCAGGCAGCATAACACACAATATAGCAGCAGCCCTTGAGTACCTTATGAAGATTTTTTTTTAGGGTATAATGACTTGAATCTTATCACTTCACAAGTTTTGAAAACTAATGCATGAGCCGTATGAACTTCTTTTAAGATGCTTTTGTGGGGTTTTAAATTTTTTTGTGACTCACATGGTTATTGAATAGATTTGTCTTTATCTCTAAAACCAACAGCAAGCGGGTTTCTGCATGTGTGTTTTTAGGCCTACCTTCACTCAAACATGTGTTACGGCTAGCTTCAGCATCCTTGTAGATGAACAACACATCCAAGGCTTTGTCTTCATTGGCGTCCTCAACAGCCAGGAAATCATACGTGGCTATAGGAGAGAAACACATTCAGCATCCAATCAGGCATGCATGAACGTTACTACTGTAGCCACATAGCCACAGCCATATCACCCTGCAGCCCAAGACTGGTTGTACTACTTGATTGGCTCTATCTCCCTCCTCTCCACCTGTAGATGGTGAGCGTACTGGTGCTGTTGTCCTGTGGCTGCCGTCGCATCATCCAAGTGGATGCTGCACACTGGTGGTGGTTGAGGAGAGACCCCCCCACCCCCACATGATTGTAAAGTGCTTTGGGTATACAACAATACACAATAAAGCGCTATATAAATGCATCATTCATTCATTCATTCATACTGTGTGTTTTTCACGTTGCTCACCTGCATCAGGCAGCGTGCGGTTCCAGGTGGGCAGGTACTGCGGCCGTACGGGGCAGGGAAGGATGAATGAAAAGGCAAAAACAACCACCAGGCACAGGAAGAGAGAGAGGAGGAATGCAGCCGTGCGCCACCCCGTCAGGTGTGACAAGCACAGCTTTTCTGTGCAGCTTTTCTCCTTAGACACGCCCCCTTCTGCCTCTTCACCCTTCAGAGGCTCCGCCTCAAAACCACGTCCTGATGCGTCTGCCATCTCAGACCAGCTGCACACCACTGCAAGACACAAGAGGGTGAGACATATGAGACCATGGACCACAAAACCAGTCATAAGGGTTCATTTTTCGAAATTGAGATTTATAAGCTTATAATAAATAATCTTTCCATTGATGTAAGGTTTGTTAGGATAGGACAATATTACGAGATACAACTATTTGAAAATCTGGAATCTGAGGGTGCAAAAAAATCAAAATATTGAGAAAATCATCTTCAAATGAAGTTCTTAGCAATGCATATTACTAATCAAAAATTAAGTTTTGATATATTTACGGTAGGAAATTTACAAAATATCTTCGTGGAACATGAGCTTTACTTAATGTCCTTATGATTTTTGGCATAAAAGAAAAATCAATAATTTTGACCCATACAATGTATTTTTGGCTATTGCTACAAATATACCCCAGCGACTTAAGACTGCTTTTGTGCTCCAGGGTCACATATGAGATGTAATCATCTGGTTATTATAAAAAAAAATGCTATTTTATAGTTTGAGGAAAATACAAGAGACTAGCACCATTAGAAAATCGATCGCCTGGGTCAGCAGTCAATTATACAGTTTAGAGTTACATAAAATATTTGGGTAAATGTTGTATTCCAGAGTACTTTTTAATAATTTGACATAAACCCATTTAACCCTATAAAGCCTACTGTATCATATTTGATAAATAAATTTCTAAGGCATCTAAATCTAAATGATCAACATGGTCATACTCATACTTTTTTAGCAAGTAAAAGGCCTTTTAGTGTAGCTGTTAGGGGTGTGCGATATATATCGTCTGCGATAATATCGTAATTGTTGTTTTTCAGCTTTGCATCACAGCAATAAATTACATTTTAAAGTATAATTAAAAGAAAGAAACCCATTATTCTGTATTTTTGCTCAAATAAACGCAGCCTTGATGAACAGAAGAGATTTCACATTATTAAATCACATTATAAATCTTACTGATCCCAATCGTTTGAACAGCAGTGTAAACTACACGCTTCATCATCACACTCGAAGAAACAGCGGAAGGGTCTCTAATTCTTCCTGAATTCAACCCTCGGTGACCAGCAGAACATCACAATCTACTGCATCTACTGCATCTACTCATGCTGCTTTCCCATCCAGACAGAAGCTGCTGTCAAACATCCAAACTAAGCACCTCAGTCATTCTGGAAACTGTCCTTTGGATGACAAAAGCACTTTAACCACAACAGCACTGCACTTACACATACACAAACACAAACACATACACATACACAAATACACTATAAAACAACACCATCTAACGCATTTGACAAATATAAACAAGTGTTATAACGTTATGTATATAATGATTTTTAAAGTACAAAATACAGCCTAAGCCTATTCCATGGCATTAAATAACAACCACACTTTAACTAAATACAACTTATATCAGAAACAACTGTCTAGCAGAACCCGAAATCACGATCATGTTTTGTAGAAGATTTGATATGTTTGTCTTAAATAGAAGTTAAAATGACCTCCGTTAGTGGATCTCTTCAACAAGCTTCACTTGTTGACCAAACAGAAACCAAGTTAAATGAAGTAAACGGCGATGGTTTTGGTAAAACACACAACTGTCTGATCAAAACAAACCTGCTGAAAGACGGATCCTCCTGCGCTGCTGGGTGAGTGAGCGGGTTTGGCAACGACACTTCCGCGTACGGCAACACGGCTGGGACAAAAAGAGCGATTTTGTTACAATGGATTTTTCTTGAAGACAAAAAGTCAAATGTCGTGTGAAATTACCTACTGGGACATTATTGTATAAAAAAAGAGTTTTAATAATTTTACACATTACGCAGAAATGTAATTACTTATTTTTGTGTCAGGCCGTCGTCTGAAAAATATTTGTACAAATAAAAAAATAACTATTAAAATAAATGTAAATAAATTATTTAAACGATTAGTTCAAATTATTCGTTGTAACTGCTAAATTAAATATTAGTGATGTTAGTATATATTTGTATGTTATAGGTATATGTTATACATTTAATTATTAGGCTATAATGCTATTATAATTATAATTATTAGGCTATAATATATATATATATAAAACATAAATAGACATGAAAAGGCATGTATAGGCAAAAACCAATCAGTTTTTAGGTTTCAGGCTATTTTTAGCCAAACTTTGTTCAAAGACGTTTCTCAACTATGTTATGAAAGATATAACATAATATAAAAAAACTAAATATATATATATATATATATATTAGGGTGACCATACGTGCCATTTTCCCAGGACGCGTCGTGCGTAGCGCGCTCTGATTGGCCGCTCGCCCGTTTAATGAAGAAAGCGACGGCGGCGACAGACACTGGAGCGAAGCTGTCCGCAGATGATTTAAACTTTAATTTTTAGGGTAAATTCACCATCACCTTTGTGTGGCGAAAGAGTTAATCGTGTCAGGATGTCGGCCCAGGCTCAGATGAGAGCTTTGCTGGATCAGCTGATGGGAACGTCGAGGGATGGTGAGTGTTAGCCGCGTGCTAACGGCTCTGAGAGGATTTCTGAAGGCCGCGCGCTCAGATTAACCCAGACCAGAATATAATAACCCAGTCAAACAGTAAAAACAATGTCTTAAGATATAAATCAGAGTTTTAGGATTTGCTAAATGCAGCAGCATTTCCTCTTGAAACGCTTCGGTTTAATGTTTGCGTACATGTAGGGGAGTGATGACGTCACGGTTCTGTATGCTAAGCTAATGGAATATGATGAGGACATTTTTTTTTTAATCAAAAATGACGCTTTAGTTTCTTAATTTGTTATACTGTTATACTCAAATACATTATTATTAAAAAGCTGAGAAAATAGTCTTGTTTTTAGAAGAATTAAGAATAGGAATTATATAGGCACCAGTATATCCAACCCTTAAGTAACGTAATTGGTAATGCTATTAAAAATAGTAATGTTATTATTATTATTATTAAAGTTAGTGATAGACCAATATGATGTCAAGGCCAATTAATTAGACAGCATTGTCAGTGGATTCTATTCTCTTAATATTGTTTATAAATATATAAATGAAATATACATATTTATATATATATATATATATATATATGAAAATGTGTGCGTGAATGAATTGTATATGTGTATATAAAATATATAAAACAGCATAAGTTGTGTTTTTTTTGGGCTATTTTTACAACCTTGTCAATGGCTGGCGCTCTTTTATTTGACAGTATTTTTTTTAGTAAATTAATATTGGGTGAAAATTAATATATGCGTATTCATGAATGTATAAAATATTTAAAAGATAGAATATATAACCATTTATAAAGCATCTTTGGCCATCTCTCTTGTTATCAGCTATTAATAAATTGGATTTCATATATAAAAAGTAATTTCCCCAAAAATGGATGCAAGCATTAAATCTGAAGGAGCAGTGCCAAGAGGAAATATGACTTTTAGATTGTTATATGATTTTGATCAGCTCAAGAGGATTTTGCTTAAGATGAGTAAACAACAGAAGGGACTTGAGCAGATGCGCTTGAATTTGTTAAATTGAGTTTTACTGGCTGTAAGAAATCTCAGCCTCCGTGTGAATGAAGCGACTGTCTGTGTGAATGCTAAGATGAATTTATATGCTTCCCGTACATTTGTTTCATACAGACTGAACAATTGTGGCCCCTTTATTCTATTCATTAAGGTTCAGTGTATGTTTGCCAGCCTACATCTGCAAGGGAGTTGCAGAAAAGCCTCATGTTCATCGAGCCGTGAGTCACCAATGCTTTTTAAAGCTGTTATGAATATGAAAAACAATACTGTTTGCTTTCCAGCAGTAACTGTGTTACACATCACGCTAGTTGGTAAC